AAAAAAAAAAAAAAAAAAAACACTGTTTGGGTGAATCATAATAGTCCATAATTTTAAAAATGTTACTGTAGGGAAAGTGGGGACATGAAGGAGTGTCTSACTTTCCCCTCTCTCCCTTCTTCGTTAGACCGTGTTGAAATATAACTGGGCTTGTTTCGTTTGGCTTGTGCCTTGTTAATTATTCTTGAACTGCCTTGTTCCCTTGCACACAGGTCCGGAGCCGTGAAGACCTGAGCACGTTCCCGCTCCGTTTGGGCAGTCTCTCCAAACTTGAATATTTGCTGAGTTGGACACTGGTAAGTGCGACAGGAAGCAAAAATCACATCCAGCTTCAGTAGGAACCCTGGAAGTTTGGGGATGCTGGGGGAGTAAAAGCTGCCATCTAGTTTTCCATACAATGAAAATGTATATGGTGCCGTTGACTTGGAGTCAGTGCTAGTAATTTTAAATCCCTTAAAGCTCTGGCAGTGATTTTTTTTTTTTTTTCCTGGAGTGACGTTCAGGGAGCAAACATGTGCAAAATTTTAAAATGCTGTGGCACATCAACCCTCTGATGTTGTCACAATTATGGAAATGGAATTCRTTGTGAATTCATGGATTCTATAAAACGGGTTGCTTGACTCATAAAGTGAAATTAGTATTTTTTTTTTTATTGGGCAGTTAACATCTACTTTGAGACTACTTTAAGGTAAAACATTTTTTCATGTTTGATTCTGTTAATTCACATTGTAGATATTGGCTATAATAGCTTCAGCCTCGTACGGATGTAGTTACCAGTGGAATTACTGCATTGTTTCTTTGCCTTTCTTTTTGACTTCCACCAGGACTAGCGGAAATACTGTGAATTATTTTAATGTAAAATGAACACCTCTTCTATACAATATCCATTTTTCCCCTGCTTATTAGCATTTCAAAAAGCCAAATCAAAAATATAGCCKCAGAAGCCTATGAAAAGAAAGAGAGGGGAGATTTTATATGTTGAAATAAATGAAGAATCATTAACTTCCAGAAGGCCATGAACGAAGAAGTATATAGCATTTTAATAATACTTCTTAACATCCAGTTCCCACATTTTTAGGGAACTACAGGACATTTATCTTTTGGTTTTGCGACCCTAAAGAATAAAGTGTTGATTTATTGCACACTGCAAAGTTATACTTAAAACGGTGTTCAAAATGCRGTCTTGCCTTTGAAAATACAGGTAGCTTGGGGCATTAACTGAGGTTTTAGYTGCTTAGTTTTATTCATCTCCTGAATTTCAACAGGAAACAGTGTTTGCTTCAGTAAGAGCCTTCGTAATTCCTCTTTAAAATACTTCAATTTAAAATACTTTTCAACTTGTTTAGATAAAAAATCTGAATAGCAGGGTAAATTGGCTGGCTTGTAAGGAGGGCTCTGTTAAAAAGGGCTTGTGAGCCGAAGAAATGCACTTCTGTTTGCCTTTTAAAAATGATTTTCAACCCATAAAGTGTGAGATAAGTTCCTGGTGGTTCCCAAGCCCAGTCTAATTCATCAGAAGCTTCTTCAGAGCAGAACAGAGAGACACCCGCCTGTCGGAAGCTGTTTGTGGGCTGGAAATAYGAATTGCTGCTATTCAAGGGCATGAATATCGTGAAGTCTTTCGTTTCTTGCAGTCATAAATTTATTTTAATAAAGAATTGGGTGTGTTCTCTAAACTTCTTGGAGTTAATCAGCAGTTTTGAGGCAAGCACACAGTTTCCACGTGCAGAATAGTTGTTTTTGGTGGTGCATTGACAGCAGTTGAGCAAGCGTGGCGAGCTGTGAGCGCAGCAGCCCCGCCGAGCTCCTCGCGACGATAGTTGGGCTGGACCAGTGTGTGGAGCGCAGTGGTGTGTGTTGGGCCGGCACGTTCCYGCGGCGTCTCTTGGAAGGGCTGGTTCCTGCAAAACTGAGCTTGCAGGTGGAAAACTGTCCTGTTTCCGGGGAGGAAATGGGACGTGTTGCTTTTGCACATCCAAGGTTTTCAAATCTGTTTGATCAAGTGGAGTGTTTCTGTAGGAAATGGAGTTTTGATGGCAACCAGGAATAGCTAAAGAAATATTTCTTACTTGGCTTTAAAACGCTCTGGGGAAAATGAAAGAAAAAAGAGCAAAAAAAAAAAAAAAAAAAAAAAAAAAGGCAACCCTGTGTGTTGTATTTAATGTGATGGGAGCTGCCAGTGGACAGGTGAGACAGTGCTGTGCTTCCCTCCTCGTGCTCCCAGGGGAGAAGGGAAGGAGGGAGGGGAGGAAGGAAGGAGAGAGGGGAGGAAGGAAGGAGGGAGGGGAGGAAGGAAAGAGGGAAGGAGGGAGGGAAGAAAGAAAGGAGGAAGGGAAGAAAGGAAAGAGGGAGGGAAGGAGGGAAGGGGGGAAGGAGGGAGGGAAGAAAGGAAGGGACAAAGGAAGGAGGGAAGGGAGGAAGGAAGGAAAGGGAGGGAGGGAGGAAGGAAGGAAGAAAGGAAAGGGGAAGGGGAAGGGAGGCCTCGTTCAGGCAGAGGTGCCTGCCTGCCTTTGAACATCATTTCCACCTTGCTAAAGGCTGGTGTTTCAGCATCCCGGAGCCCTCAGACAAGCCCCCTCATTTGCTCGGGAACCAGCCCTTGGACAAAGGAAACATAAATGTAGTTTCAAAGCCTAAAAGTCTGGTACCTTTTCCAATCCCTAAGCTTTTCAAATTTTCTGCTGTTTGGTTCCTGGAGTTGTTATAGGCTTGTTCCACAAGTGTTTTCAGGAGTCAGTCTTACAGTTAAGGAAACTAGAATTTGATTCGTGTGTGTGTAAATACTTAGTGATTTGCAAGGTGGGAATCTTTCAAATTACCTATAAAGCAGTATTGGGAGTCCTTGGATCATTGGCTAAGTGAGCATTTATTATTTTCATTTTATTTCCTATCATTGTATTTCCACTCTAACAATCTGGTGTTAAATTGGAGTGTGACTCTCAAATTCCGGTATTTCTCCTCCATGCAAGCCATTATGTTATTCCTTCTCTTCGTATTTCCTTCCCTCTACCCTTTATCAGGAAAAGAGTTCCAAACAGGCAGGAAAACCCAGCGTCTCTTAAAATGAGATCCATCTAAATGGAAAAAGAAGTGAACCTAAGAAGGAAACCCAACTGAGTTGCTTAGGTATATTATAATTGCAAAGAAAAGAGTTCTCCTTTGGTGGCTTCTAGGACCTTAAAATGCAGGGTGTTAATTCTCCTTTATTACACCCTTGTTGCATGTGCCTCATCTTAAACTGTGTCATATCAACAGCATAAATTCATGTTCCGTTGTTGCAAAATCCTAAATCGCTCCAGCTCTGCAAGGGCCTCGGGCGACTGTCTGCCGTTTCTGACCCACGTGTGTGTATTCCTTTACTCACAGCTTTTTAATTTCCTTGTTAGTGTGGTGTTTTGGTTCTTTCTAGCAGGCCACGGCCAAATATTTGTTTCCCTCCGTGAACCAGAGGGACAAATTCTGGGGTCTGGTTGCGTGCGTGTGTCTCTCACTGACTTATTTAATAGTCTGTTGGCGTGTGAGGGCAGAGCTGAACCTGCAGCCGCTCCAGCTGCCTCTGCTCCACGTGCTGCACAAAGCTGCAGTGCTAATTATCATTTTCACGGAAAGAGTCAAGAATAAGTGAGTCAGTAACGTGCCTCCTTGCTGTGAAGAGGAGGCCCTCAGCAGAGGTGCGTGGCTCAAGCCCTGGGTAGCTGCGTGGAAAATCAGCCCAGCAAAAGCAGCAGCGAGCAGCGCACGGGCTCGCGTGGCTTGGCTGTGAGCGCAGGCTGCTCTGCCGCCTTCGTTTTGACATGAAAACCACACTGATGGAAAGGAAGAGGTCTTATTTGAGGACGGTTTCAGAAGGAGGAAGTTGAGAAGATGAATGCGTGAAGAGGTTGGAGTTAAATAAACACTGCTTGTGTCTGCCTTGCAGAGCAGCCTAATGCATTTGGTGTTTGTAAGGGGAGTATCCGTACTTCCTAAAGAGAATCCTAAAGAGAATCCTAAAGAGAATCCTAAAGAGAATCCTAAAGAATCCTAATCCGTATCCAAAAGAGAAACAGGTGGGGAATATTAACTGCGATATCAAAGATGCTTTTGTACGGAGGATAACTGGGTTGAGGTATAACAGAGCTGCTTTGTTAACTGACCAAAGTTGCTAAAATATTTTCCTTTTTTTTTTTTTTCTTTAAAAAAAAAAACCCCCACACACACAAACACAGGAAATCTTGCTGACCCACCCAGGAAAAGCAAAAGCAGTAGGCAAAAAGCTTATAATTTATATCCTGACAGCCTGCTTCATTGTTCAGTGCATTAAAGGATCGTGTTTATCTTGTGTGTGATTGATTTCCTTGTAGCCTGTTACCCAGCTTGAAACTAGCAGCGTATCAGCATCGTTTTCCCCTTGGAAAAAGGTGATAAATTCAAAGCTTTTTGAAAATACTGTGTGGGGAGACCTTGCAGAGCTGGTGAGTGGCTGCGCTGGCGGCGGCTTAACCAGACTCTAGAAAATGGGATTTATATGGCTTTTTTCCTTCCTTTTTTCTGATCGTGGCACCAGTCTTGGCTACGCTGGTGAGCCTCAAGGGTTAAGTTCCCAGCACTGTCGCATATGGCAGTGAGCAGAATCACAGATGTTGATGATACAACATAATTAGTATTCTTTTATGTAAATGAAGGCTGTCAATGTTACCATAGTGTCTATACTCTTTTAAGCCGGAATCTGTGCCACTTGGTCTAACCAAGACCAGACAGGATTATTCCATGATTTTGCATCAAGATGGGAGCAGAAAAAGCGAAAAAGGTCAAAGAGGAAAGTGGGAGCAAGGTAGGCAGGAATGTTTCCATCCTGGAAGGAGGAAACCCAATCAGCGCTTTGTTTATTTGGGCATTTTGGAAAGAGGCTCTCCAGGTTCTGGGATTTGTGAAWGAATGAATGGAGTCTGAATGAGAAGTGCAGCAAATTTTAGAGCTGTTTCAAACGAACAGCAGAAATAATGATTTAGATGTGGAGTCACGATATTGCAGTGAATGCTGAAGAGGCCACTTGGGCTTTAATCTGTAAGAGAGGAGAGCTAAAGAACAGAAAAGGTTTGATTTTTGTTTAACAGGTTCCATCTTTAGCAGCACTGTCACTGGGGAAAAACATAATTAAAGTAAATTTGCATAATTCGAGGACAACGAAAATGTGTTTTCAGGCCTTGGACAGATATGTTTTCAGCATGCTGTTTTGAGTCAACTATCCAAAGCTTATCTTAAAGCTTTTAGAAAGCATTTTATTGCCTTAGCTCTGCTAAACTCTGCTCCTCATAAAGTGAGGTTTGTTTTCTATATGCCAGCTCTATATATTCTCTATGCCAGCTCCGTGACACTTGTAACCACTTTGTCCATATTACTACTCTCCCTCCTGTCACTGCTTTGTAGTATATTGAAGTAACATGGTCATATACACACAAACAAGTTAATTTACTCTTTCTGTGGTTTATTACAACAGATATTCAACAGATATATTTTCACTTTTTTTTTTTTTCCTGCTGTTGGCAAAATGCAGGGTTTTCTCTCTTCTCTGTAGTTCTTGTTTTGTTGCAGCTCACACTGGACAACTATTTATTCACTTTTTATTGTTTGAAAAATYGACTAGAAATGAACTTTAATTCAGGACAGATTTTTTTTTTCCTTCCATCTCCTCCCCCTTTTCTAACCAAGTTATCAAAGCGGCCAAATCTGACGTGATCACAGGAGGTGCACGTTTTCCCTCAGATATTTTTCTCTGCCATATGGTGGGTCATCCACTACAAACGACTCGCATCTAAGAGGCTACATGTGATCAGCAGATTTACAGATTATTAGAGAATGAAAGCAGAAAAATGAAATTCTCAAGTGTCTCTTGTATCCGATATTCCTTTACACCCAAGTGTTGGGGTTCTTTAGGGCAGTCGTGTCTTGGCTTCTAGCTTGTTCTGTTCTTTGTAATAAATGGGTTTGCTGCAGTAGCTCTTACTTTGCAGGGATTAATTGTGTTCAAAAGCAACCAGGCCTGGTTTCTTAGTGTGTTTATGTGCATCCCAAGAATATTCCCTCTCCAGGGCTTTGAAGCTGTGCTGCCTGACAATGAAGACTTAAGAAGTAATTAAATTCTCGCAGAGCTGCCAAGGCTCCTTGGGCTGAAATGAGGATGCTGCAGGCCCTGGACACTGCGTTGCAGAGGAAGGAATGTTTGAGCACGACGCAGTGAGTAGTCTAGGAGGGTGAGGGCATCTGGGTGCTCGCTTGGTGCCCGGGCTCTGCCCGTTGTCCCAGGAAATTGGAGGGACTATACAAAAGGAATTGCCCTGCTGGCATGAGGAACGTTGTTCTCATTGTGCTCTTTGAACAACTGAGTATCGTTTACAACGCGCGGCCGCTGGATACAAAGTGGAAGCTTTTCGCTCTTYGGAATTCCAGCCGCCCTGCTTTGATTCCCTTTCAGTGACAATATAAAAATTCAGCAAATCAGTTAGGTTTCATGTTTATGCATGTGTTCATGCAAACATGCACACGTTTTGTGAGAATACGGACGTTTCATTAGGTTTACARTAACATGGCATTATGCATTTAATCTTTTTTCTTTTTCTGCTGCTTTTCTTTACACATTAAAAWGTTCAGAGGGATGTGGGAAGCAGGGCGAATTCCTGCGTGGAATGTAGAACCTTTGGACTTGCAGGTTGCTTGTAAGCTATTCTGGTCATGGCAGTCATATTTTTGTGGCTTCTGTGAAAAGCCAGCGCCCTCACTGCAGTTCCTCATGGCACGCACTGCAGTCCCAAAGCCCTCTGTATCCAGCAGCTTCAGGAGGGCAGCTGCACATCCAGTGGGGGTGTGGGCTCATCAGTCCTTCCCCTGGCAAGCGAGTCCTGCAGGTTGGGTAGGGCTGCCAGGCAGCTGCTTGGGCTGCCCGGAGGAAGCAGAGAGACACTTGCAGTCTGCAGAGCTTGTCAACCGAATAGCTTTCAATGGAACTGAAAACTGGGGGTTAGTTAGGTAGTTTTCTTCATTTTAAATGTGCACACAAATAATATAGTCAGTGGAAGTGACTATGCACTATAGTGCTGCAATTGGAAGTGACAAGATGTGACATCTCTATAGACAGAGATCATTTTAAATCTGTTTAATGGCTCTTTTTCTCTCTTATCTTGCAAGGTCAAAGCAGCGAAGACTTCTGTAAGACATGGATAGATGCAAACATGTTGGGCGGCTACGACTCGCCCAGGACCATTCTATCCTGAACCCACAGAAGTGGCGCTGCGTGGACTGCCACACCACGGAGTCTGTCTGGGCTTGTCTGAAGTGCTCCCACGTAGCCTGTGGGAGGTACATTGAGGAACATGCACTTAAACACTTTGAGGAAACCAGGCATCCACTAGCCATGGAAATCAATGATCTCTATGTGTTTTGTTACCTTTGTGAAGATTATGTCTTGAACGATAACCCGGAAGGCGATCTCAAGTTGCTGAGAAGCTCTCTGTCCGCGATTAGGAGTCCAAAACATGATCCGTCGACGAGAAGTGGCAGGACGTTGCGCTCGATGGCTTTCGGGGAGGACGTGTGCAGCCGTCCAAGGGCCCCGCAGGGCCAACCTCAGATGCTCACGGCGCTGTGGCACAGGCGCCAGGCTTTGCTCACAAAGGCGCTGCGGACCTGGTTTGATAAGAGCTCCCGAGGCCAGCTGAAACTGGAGCAGAAGAAGCAGAGGGAAGAGCTGGAGAAAAAAAAGGAAGCGGCAAGGCAGCGGCGGCAGGAGATGAAGAGGCAGCTGCTGGAGGAGCTGGCAAACACCCCACCAAGGAAGAGCGCCAGGCTGCTGTCCCACGTGCACAGGGAGAACCTGATTCCAAGGAAATTCAGAGAGGTGGCAACCACTTCCCCTACCTCAAGGCGGATGCAGAGCAGCAAATTCAAGCAATTTTATTCCATCCGGCGTAAGCCTCTGATGACCCCCGGGGTGACAGGTCTGAGGAACCTGGGGAACACATGTTACATGAATTCTATTCTGCAAGTGCTAAGTCACCTGCAGAAGTTTAGAGAATGTTTTCTGACCCTTGAGCTCTGTGAAACAGAAGAACTCTTAGCCAAAACTGTGAATGGGAAGTCTAGGACGCCTGGCAAATTGGCAAATGGATCTGCTGCTAATGAGTCAGGGAAGACTGACAAAGTAGGACCGTATGGCACGCAGAGCTTGCCAGCTGGCTTGAACGGTGGCTCCTCAATAAGCAGGAGTTTAGAACTAATACAACCCAAGGAACCAAGCTCAAAGCACATCTCCCTCTGCCATGAATTGCACACCCTCTTCAGGGTGATGTGGTCCGGCAAGTGGGCGCTCGTGTCCCCGTTTGCCATGCTGCACTCTGTGTGGAGTCTGATCCCGGCGTTCCGGGGTTACGATCAGCAGGACGCTCAGGAATTCCTGTGCGAGTTGCTGGACAAAGTGCAGCAGGAGCTGGAGTCGGAAGGAACGAAGCGCAGGATCCTCATCCCTTTCTCGCAGAGGAAGCTCACCAAGCAGGTGCTGAAGGTGGTGAACACCATTTTTCAYGGGCAGCTGCTCAGTCAGGTATGAACATGGGTTTTGCACAGAAATCCGTTGGCTCTCTTGGCAAGAAGCAAAGGCTGTTGCTTGAGGAACCACCGGATACGAGAGGAATTCTGTAGGATTGCCTCCTGTGAATGCAGTTGGTTAGAGCTTGTGCACAAGCTGTCTGTGGCTTTTTTTTTTTCCCCAGGCATTTGAAAACCCTCCCCAGACACTGAGCATGTTCAACRTATGTTTCTTTAGGGGCTGAAAGTGTCAGCCTTGTTGCGCTGCTTGGTTTCTTAGTTCTGTGCTGTTCCCTGTCTGAAACATATTTTTGCCCCCAAAGTCTGATCYTGAGAATGCAGTGTGTTTCTGAAAGCCCTCAATGACTCCTGCTTTCCMAGAGAAAAGCATGTGTGCATAATTTGAGACACTTGAGGGTTTGCAGGATCAAACCATGAGGATATAATGTGTGTGTTCCCATTGCTATTTAAATAATCTTTCTCAGTGCTGGCCTTTTCAAGCTTAACATTYGTAAGAACTAATGTGCATTTTAAAGAAATGTATTTTTCAAGTTAAAGCTTTGGGTTTTCAAGGCAGAAATGGCTCAASTCAGGGTTCTCTTTAATCATCTCTACATTGCATTAACTTCTYGCTCACTTCTTAATGTTCTTTGAGTTGTGTCTCTGTCTCATGACTCTGGAAGATGATTTGCTGTGGCGAAGGTCAGTGCTTCACATTCAGTGTTAGATCTCTGTTAACAGCTCCCAATTGTTTGTGAATCACTGTAGTTTATCCACTGTTGTGATACAGTATAAATCGCTGTTTTATGTTGCTGAATGCTTTCCCCTGCTGCCTCTGAGTTTAAGTACAAACTCTTTTACTGTCTTATTTACTCACATTTTGGGATGAAGTGAGAAAACAAATGCATTTCAAATTTCTCCTTTCGTACTCCATTCACTAATAATGCAGATGAAAGAGTTAAGAGCCTATAGTCAACACTTTGAAACACGCAAGCAGGACAGAGGAACTGAGACAGGGAGATGACATGCTGAAGGCACATGTATGTTCTTTGTAAAACTGGTCCAAAGTGGTTTTTAGCCAACCAAAGTAGTGTTATCCCTTTAATGTTCTTTATCTGGGGAAGTGAATCATGTAAAGATGAATATTGTATCCATTGGGTGGAGAACTAAGAAGGAAGCTTAAATTCTTTGCTCCAGACAGACTTAGCTTTCGGACATGTCGTGTTTCTCCTGGCTGCCAGGTCATTTTTATGGCCATGAAACTGCGCTGCCCTTTGGGCATGAAATTGCTGTTTGGAAGTGAGTGTCAATGTCTGTGTGGAGCTGTATGTGTGCATAACTTCATTTGTATATACACATTTCATTCCCAGGTCACCTGTATAACATGCAACTACAAATCCAACACCGTGGAGCCCTTCTGGGATCTTTCCCTGGAATTTCCTGAGCGCTATCACTCRGCTGAGAAAGGGATTGTCCCTGTTAACCAGACAGAGTGTATGCTGACAGAAATGCTGGCCAAGTTCACAGAAACTGAGGCTTTGGAGGGGAGGATATATGCATGCGACCAATGCAACAGTAAGTCAGATGCTGCTGCTCTCTTTACAGTCTAGAAACAGTCTGCTTTTCTGAGTGAGAGGTTTCCACTTGCCTTTTTGTGTGTGAAAATGAGTATCGTAACCTTTATGTCTATGAAAACTGTGTTCTTCACTGCTTGCACTGTTTTGTTCCTTCCTGTCAGCAGCTTCTGCTCCTTTGGGCACAAGCTGGGAACTGTGTCACTCGTTCCTCATTTCTGCTGTTCAGCTGCAGGACCTGCCTCCTGAGCCTGTCTAGAACTGCTCGCTCGCTCTGTTTTTGGGGTGAGAGGCAACTGCAGTAATTTGGGTGAGGAGCCCTGGATACAGAGATGAGCTAAGCACACAGGCACGTCAGCAGGAACAGCTTGAGGCTGATAACTGATGGGGTGTTCAGGAGCATCACAAAAATGAAAAAGTTTAACTGTTTTTAAGCAAGTTTCTCTTGATCCAAGAAATTCCTCCTCTGTGAAGAAATTTGTAAGTAAAGTAATCTCTCTATGAGTGCATCTTACAGTAGGCTGGACTACTACTGGAAGAAAAGAGAGTTTATAATGTGCCTTTTTTCACCTTCTGCAAATTGTCTACCAACTAATATTCTCTGGATTTTTTTTTTTTTTTTGGTAGGCAAACGGCGAAAGTCTTCTCCTAAACCTCTTATTCTGAGTGAAGCTAAAAAGCAGTTAATGATCTACAGGCTACCTCAGGTCCTCCGACTGCACCTTAAACGATTCAGGTGAGCAGGCTGCCTTGCACAGTGTCTAGCAATTGCATTGCTGATATTTGGGGGAAAGAATTGATTAGCAAAGGCCAGTGATGTCTCTCCCTCTCTGGGAGCTGCACTTGTATAAACATTTCAGCCAAACCAAATATGCTGAATTAAAGTCAGCTCTTAAAAGTCGCTTAGCAGCGACTAGTCCTCTGTGCCTCTTCCATTCCCACCCCGTGCAGCGCTGTCAAGAGGGATGCTGAGCCTGTGATTGATGCCCTTGTGTTTGCAGGTGGTCTGAACGCAATCACCGTGAGAAGATCGGGGTCCATGTCCTCTTTGACCAGGTATTAAACATGGAACCTTACTGCTGCAGGGACTCTCTCTCCTCTCTTGACAAAGAGACCTTTGTCTATGACCTCTCCGCCGTGGTGATGCATCACGGGAAAGGGTTTGGCTCAGGACACTACACAGCATATTGCTACAACACGGAGGGAGGTGCGTGTGCCTTATTACGGGGRAACAAATCCAAGCAGCTCATACTTTGTTCCGTAGACGTAGTGTGTTGGGAAGCTTTACGATTGCTGTTGGTTGGAATCAAGTTTCCTGGATATTCAGGAGTTGCTTTCCCAGAATGTGTTGCTTGCAGCATGTTTTYTTTTTTTYTTTTTTTGCACAAAGACCACAGATTGCTGCTCTTTGTAGCCCTTCCGGATGCCTTTTATTGCTCGCTGTTAGCAGCATGAATGCTTCGTTTTCTTATGCTATGTAACTCGGTGGAGCTGCTCCACCTGGGGGTCTTTTCTCGTTATCTTTGGGATGATGACATAAACAGAAAATATTCTGAAACTGGACAGGGACTCTTCATGAATAACGTCCGCAGGGATTTTATGACTTCTCAGCAGCCTCTGCAGCTGAATTAGTGTCAATTCTGCTTTCTGACTTGCAGAGAAAGAGGTACAAATTGGCTATCTCCAGGGAATTTTTATTTTCTTAGTGAAAATCTTGTACCAAAATATCCGATTGAACTACAGTTTTATATTTCTAAAGCATGTTAACAGCATAGAAATGGTATAAATAGTTCCCTCGTTAGAAACCCCTTTCCAAAGTATCTATAGGGTAAAGCTGCCTTTTCTCCTGCTTCTTGGTGGATGTCTCGTATGAACAGTTCCAAAGTGCAGTCAGACGGAATGATGTCTCCGTTACTGATGTCCTCTTTCTCACTTTGATTCCTAGGTTTTTGGGTCCACTGCAACGACTCCAAACTGAATGTATGTAGTGTGGAGGAAGTGTGCAAAACCCAGGCCTACATTCTTTTTTACACTCAAAGGACAGTGCAGGGCAAAGCAGGAATCTCAGAAAAACAACTCCAAGCTCAGGTGCCGTCCAGAAACAGTGACAAGGACAGAAGACTGACATTCCCGTGAGGGGAAGCACTGTAACTCCATCAAGGGTCTTCAGTTTTTAAAACCATGGTGTTCACAAAGAGGGCTCGCTGCAGGAATGTGTCGGATCRTGATGTTTGCCACCCGGGAGCTGGAAAAGTCTGTCAAGCTGTGCAGTTCTGTCGCATAAGATTGTAAGCAGAATTCTGCTTTGAAAATGGTTAAATCGTTCCCACAAAACAAAAAGAGCAAGTTTGGTGCTTAGTGTTGTTAATCTGTTATCAAAAAGGAATTGATGAAGGCATGTAACAAGGAGCACAGCCAGGAAACAGAAGCATTCAACTGGCTTCCCAAGGCCTTCAGTACCTAGTAATGCTGTTAAGCCTCCAGAGGGAACAGGTATAGTATCCTTGATCCCCTTGAATTGTCATTCTGTTTGTCAAGCAGATTGCCAGGGTCTCAATCACTCTGTCACTCCCCCTGTATTTATTTGGGGTTGCACAGATGTGCTGAGTAGAATTTGGTCTGTGAGATCTTTATTTCTACTGAGGGAACAAAGCAGCTAATTCTTAGGAAAGCTACAAAAAAAATCTATATGTGTAATAATCTTGATTTTTAGAATCATATGAGAAATACTAGGTCCTAAGCTGACCATATATAATCGCTTCTCAGCCTGCAATTTCATTTCAGATATTTCTTTTAATTTGAAGTTTGGTTGTTCACATTTCATATTTTAACCAAATCCAGATACATGACTGCAGAGAAATATGACCTCTTCCAACCTTGATGGGATTCTTCTAAATTGCTTTTGGAGGGCTTCACCTCCAACATGAGGGTCTTCAAAAATTTTGATTCACTTTTCAGGTAGAGAAGTTCTGAAACTTTCTCTCCCTCTTCTCCTGTTAYTCTTGTCAGCATTTACCCATCTGACATAAACTGACAGCCCTATGTTATTGGTGGAGAGATAATGAGGTAACTTGCCCAAATTCCTCTCTTTCCACTGCCACTACTGTAATTTCTCATTTCCTGCCACGTGGGCAAATCAGTATTTCTTCTCTGGCTGCTGCGAATTGCCCCCAAAGCCATGTGAGTGCAGCAGTCAACAACCTGGGGCTTTCTTAGAGCAGTGTCACACAAGGTGTCCTCTCTGTGGGGGAAAAAGAAAATTGTTATTTCTTATGTGTCTGAGCAACTTCTGCGCTGCTTTTTGAGTCTACAAAACCTTTGGCAATCTTTTTGGCAATTAAATATATTTTGAAATCATATACTCTTACTTTTGGAGAAAAGACAGTTTGAAACGGTCCTGGGGGAATTTGGGAACTGGTGACAGTTTGGGGTTTATTTTTTTAAGTGTAGCAGGATTTGAAACGATTGCATAAGAATGTCTGTGTATTTACTGGGGAGTTTTATTTTTTTGCAGCCAGAAAATAAAACTAATAAGGCAACGGGTGCAATGAAAACCCAGTAAAAGTAACTAGGACTGCATAGAGTGCAGGGGAAGCTGAGTGGGATTCAGCTTGCRTGTCTCAAAAAGAAATGTGAAAGACAAATAGTGCTTAACAATGCCTTTTTGGTAACGTCTGAGGCGGAAGGGAAGATGTTGCCTGTGCATCTGACCTTCCAGGCCTGCCCAAGCTTTGAGAGGACTGTGTTTTTCTCCGTGATGCTCGTGGTTTATGGTGACTGCGGAATCACCTTCCGGATCCCGTAGCCGCGGGAGCTCATGGGCAAACCGTAACGCAGCAGCAGCTGCCAGGAGCCCGGGCTCTTCCRTACGAACGCTCATCTTTTGACTGAGTGTTTTGCATTAACATTTGAATTCAGGTAGGAATACAGCTGTCTCCTTGAACTGAGCAGGTTGCGGAGGGGAACGGAGGGCTGGGAACGTGCCGCTAGCCACGGGCGCATCGGATTTTCCAAGYGGATTCTGTAGCATTTGCTGGTGACGCCTTTTGACATGAGTGGCCTCTCCGTGCGACGTTAGCCTCATTGTGCTGAGATGTGGAGATACTGCAGTCGGAAAGTGATTGCCCTGATAGGGAAGGAGTTAATTGTACTTCAAAGYAAACTTGCTTTTTCCAACACTGTGAGGTTTCTGTAATATTTAGCTTTTATTTGGGAGCGATAGCGTATAGCATTTTTTATGCTGTTTGGTTTATATTTGTCTACTGCAGGCTTCTTTATATAAGCATAGCYCAATGTTCCCTCCATGCTGGACACTGTTTTATAGTGTTCTGTTTGCCAGCAATGCTGACTGGAAGTTTACCTCAAGTCAATAAGATCAATATACTACCCGTGCTTGCAATGAGGCCCATCTAAGTGAATGCCTGGCAAAGGGTAGCCTGCAAGGCAAACTTTGCCCCTCCTTTAACAGCATGGTTTCAAATCCTGCTAATACACGGATGCATTTTTAGAATAATTGCAGATTTAGGTGCTGTTTCTGCAAACACGTAAGCACACGGTGTAACTAACTTAGATGGAAGCGTGCATTTCAGCGGCCGTAGCTGAGTTGCAAGGGTCTATGTGATYAGAACCTCATTTTGGCTCCCTTGAGAGCAGAGCTTGTTTCTGTGTGGATAGCTGCCATTTCTCAGTAAAGGATGGTTAAAACAGTCAAAATGCCCATTTAGGGAAAAAAAAAAAAAAAAGACAACGAACTTGCACAAGTTTGCTCTGTACCAAGACTTGACTAAAAACTATTTGCAGAAGGCCCCTGTTGTATCATKCCCCACCAAACCTGCATGGTTCTGGAGCTGCTTCTAGTGCCCATCTAGTGCCATGAGAATGGTGCCCCAAATTGTCACCATCGTTAGTTCTTTGCAGTGTTGGGAGTCTGCTCCTTTTAACCAGGAGTCACCTGCTTTGGGAAGTGCTTAGAGCAAGTCTGAGATTCTTGGCATTTGCAGGTTATTTTCTGAGTTCACCCTACACCTGACAGACTGTTAAAGCCTGTGAATCCCTGGCCTTTGGTAAAAAGCTGTTCTCAACATGTCCTTATTCTGTTCAACTCATAATTAATCTGACTTTACTCAATTTTGTGTCTTTAAAATTGAAGAATCTTAATACATAAATTCATGGCCATGAAGGATCATCTGCTTTACTAGCTGGAAAATTTTGTAGCCAAGTTAATTTCACTAGCAAGTTAGTTGCATGTATTTGCCTTTTACTGCCTCCATTCCCAAGYTGAACTATGCATACTGCAAGAAGAGTTTGTCTGCAGAGCACTGAGGGGGAAAAAAAGGCAGTTTTGGTACTGTGTGGTGCCCCTCAGCCTCTATTAGCTCTGACCAAAGCAATTCTCAGACCTTGGAGTTGTCAATGTCAGTCAGAAAATGGAGTAATGCAACCCAAATGCTCGGCGTCAAACTGTTCCAGGTGGCACAACCACCCTGACTTCAGGACTTTCAGGTGTTTTTTGAGTGTAGGAATAAAATTGGAAACAGTAAATGCATTAAGTGTGTCCTATGGACTCGCTATCCGAGGTTATTTTTACTTTTAGAAGGTTTCTAGCATAGATATTGTCTTGGTGTTAATTTAGATACTCTGTTATTGATTGTAAAGTCCTCAGGCCTGAATATGTTTAATTATACCCCAATGAGAGAGGGTCAGTGAAATTTCTGGTAGTTACCAAGTTACCCGGGGTAAGCTACAGAAGTTGACACCACTTAGCAGAATGAAAGCTACATAAAGAAGAAAGAAGAGAGGGAGATTAACATACCTGCCAATACAGCTTTGTGAATTAATTTTTTACAGTCCCCTATATTTGGTGCCTTGTATCCACTTACACTTTGCATGGGACAGAAATGTCTAGGGGGAAAAAAAGTCTTTAGTTCCCATTGTGACTGAGGCTGCAGAAAGATCTGTGTGTTTTGATAAATACTTTCGGTATCACTGATGTTTTTACATTTCATACTTACGTGTGAATTGAAAAGCTTACCAGCAAGCACAGAAGCCTGCTATTTAGTGTTACATGTGTGAAATCTCTGTATTTTAATAATTCAATTAACAATTTGTTCAAAGGCAGATTGGATTTGGCCTCTTAGGCCAAATTTAGGATTTTGTTAGGCCACTCAGGCTCCTTCCAGTCGGGTCACCACAGTGACATTGGTCAAGGCACGTACCTCATGGACATGCCTGCACAGAGCAAGCATAGAAACTCCAGCAGGGGTTTGTTGGAGTGGCTTTAACTTTGGAAAGGCCCTTCTGCAATAAATCTAATGACAGTTGCTCATTTATGAAGTAAAAATTATACTTCCCTTTACCATGGTAGCGTTKGCACAGATTTTTGCCTAGCAATGTAGTAGATACTTCCACATGTGTAAGCAAAACCATGCCAGGGTAATACCTGCATAAATTGAATACAGAACAGGTACAGATGCTTAAGGAGGCTCAGTGTCTCTGCTGCACGAGTGAGGTGTCACATCCAAGGCCCTGCTCTGAACGCTGCCTTTCTGTGCGTCTCCAATCCCTTCAGCTGGTTTGCGATGGATAGGAAGGCCTTTAGGCAGGGAATGTATCGCCTGTGGGAATATAAAACCTCAGTCAAGTGGGTTTTTTGATGTCTTATTACATTAATATTGATACCTGTTTATTGCAAATGGGAATGTGAAGCATTCCAGCAAGCTCTGCAACTTGTAAGGCGACAGCACGGTTCAAATGATTGAAAGCTACATATGTTAGTTACCTGTAGCAACTTGTGATTATTTGTCTTAGTTGATTTTAGGGGTATGCCTTTAGGCCACCCCATTCGTTGTGCTTATTTGATTTTGTACATGTGTGTGTAAGGGCTCTGCTTGTTTTGAGGATAAATTTATATGGTGGGCCAGAATACTTTGAAAAGAGTTCCTAAACAAGTCTTCTTAAAAACGAGTTGTTTGCAATGTACATTTCCATAAGGGAAAAAAAAAAGACCAGCCCAATGGGCCCAAGACTGACTTTAACCACTGTTAACTATTTATTGTTTTGAAGCTTGTGCATGACACCGGATGCACTGCAGTTTAGCAGCCTGCTGTACCTTTAGGGTTCCTCTTGAACTGCCATACTACTGATTTTGTACAGGCTGGGGATAGGGAACGGCTCGGGAAGAACCAAACAGCCAGTAAACAAAGCCAAGTGACACAGCAATAAGCTGTGATCTAGGTTTAAGAAACACAGGACACATTTGACGAGGAGACCTTGTGTTTCCATGGACTGCGTATTTTGCAGGCAGACACAGACCACAGAACCCAAATGCAGTTTCATTAGCAGCAAGTTCCTAGTGGYTTGGGGCAAAAACTTCTCTGATCAGTAACTTCATACTAGCAAAATGAATGGTGCTTTTCCATTAAATATTACCTAGTTCCTAAGGAACAGTGTGCAGAACTCTCAAGTGTTTTTAAAAGGAGCTACCTACTTAAAACCCACAATGTCTCTGTAAATACTTTGTATAACTAGACGTGAGAAAGGAAAGATGCAGTTGATGACTTTACATAGATTTGATCTGTCTTATCTAGTCTTGGCAACATACTTCCAGTGGAGGTGGCAGRAAGGAAGTGGATCTTTCCATGCTAACAGCGAGTGCTAGGTCCTGAACTTGTTGAACTAGAACTCTGTGGAAATGGGGGTAGAGAAGGGAGCTTCCATTTGTTAACTAGATTAGCTCACTCTGTTCCTGCTTTACAGCCCCTTTCTGTAAGGGCAGCTCTTTATGGGAATGTGCAGCTTTTGAATGTTGCTCCTRCTCAGGAGGAACACACGCATTCCTTCAGCATGGGCAGAGCTAAGTGCCCGTTTAGCCTTATAACTTTACATAACCATATCCATACTTTGGGGATAATTTGTAGCTGCAGCTGCGTTAGTCAAATTAAACCTGTGCAGCACTCGTGGACAGACGAGGCTTAGGAATGTGTCACAGCATGGGAAGCTTGAGGTATGCAGGTGAGTAATGCCTCCAATTCCACTCCAGAGCGCACCAAGTTAGGAGAAACAGCCCTGCGGCTCCAACTGCTGCAGCGTTTGGTCTGCAGAGCCCAGTGCCTCTGATGTGGGAGTGACACTTGTCAACAAGCATTGGTTTTGCTCTCCTAAGAGTTACAAAATGAAGGTACTTGGCCTGACCCTTGAGGCACTCCTGCTTAGTGCTACAAGGTGAAGCCAGGTTTCCACGTGGAAACAAGGATTTCAGTAGTTTTTCAGGCACATCGACTRCAGCAACTTGGCACTGCCGATGCAGAGTCCCTTGAAAACAGAAYACGCTCCCCTTTTCCTCCCACCTGAGCTTTGGCTACAAATTCCTTTAGCCACAGCCTGCTCTGTTTACCTAAGTGAGTATTTGATAGGAAAGGAGCAAGTGGGTAGGTTTGGTTTGTTTCCAGCAGATTTTTTTTCCCCCTTAAGCCTGCCTTTTGTGTTTCCATAAAACAAACTTACTTTAAATGCTCAGGATTGTTAAAATAGCTTCTCTGAGGGGAGTGTTGCCTCGACAAGCTCCCCTGCAATGCGACAGGCCTGGGACTGCTGGTGAGGAAAACGCTGCTGCTGTTAATGCCTTGGAAGCTTCACTGTTGACTTGAGTTAGAGCAAAATTAAAGCTAATCTTCAGCACCTTACAAAGTTAATCCTGCTCCAAGTTGAGGTTGTTGGAAGGGTGCTGTGGGCAGAACACAAGCAGCTTTCCTGCAACACAAAATCCCCTGCAGCCCTTGTGAAAGCGACAGCTCTGCTTTTTGGGTAGGCATCCAAGCTGGAGCGTGGATGCTCCTGATTTTTTTTTGTTTTGTTTTCAGTGAGTTCCATGCGGGCTTTAAGTCTAAACAGCCTCCAGTTTCCGTTTCAAGTTTCTGCTACTTGCGTCACTAACAACTTAAGCCGATGCATCCATGCTGTGCGCAGAAATGAGCCTGCCTTTGCCTCAAGGACACTCCTGGGCAGCAGCAAGTGACGAGAGGGAATCCAATTAATTAACTGAATGTTTCTGGCAATCTGTCCAGCTGTCTCGTAGCTCAGTGCAAAGGCACTCGAAGCGCTGCTCCTAATCACAGGTTCAGCAGCTTTTATTTTAGTCAAGGTTTGTTAAGACAACGTCCACTAAGTCACCTATGGCAGCCTTATGTACTTAACTGCATGAACTGCCCCCTGCCTGAACCCAGGCCTCGAGAGGAGATTAGCRTGCTCTAAATCAAAACTAAGATTAACTATAATATGTCTTAATGTTCCATTTAATCCCCTCTTCCCGCAGAAAGCGTCTCTGTGTGACTTGAACAACTCATACTTCAGAACTTAATTCCTTTACAGCCTGTTAAAGCATCCGTTTGGAAAACGGCATTCCTTTAAATAGGTTTCCCCGTTGGTAACGAATGAAGTTTGCCCTCGGTTCAGGCGAGGGGGCAGTCTGAGGTCAGCGGAGGCAGTGCTACTTCAGAACGTCTTAATCCTAAAAAGCTGTGCAAAACCGTCCAAAGAATGTGAAGCCGGCGCAGCCCTGGCGCAAGGCGCGGGGCCGGGGGGCTGCCCGTGCCGCACGTGCGCTGTGCCAGGAGCAGCACTGGTGGGAGCTGCGGCAGAACTTGCCCCAGCTCACACGCCAGCCGCCCCTCGTGCCCTCACAGTCCTCCAACAGCTTCACCACCCACAGCTGGACCATAAACGGATCCTGGCACGCTGCAGTTTCAGCCCAAGGCACTACAATGCTATGCAACACCAAGCAGTTTCCTCCATCCAGCTGTAATTCCCGTACAGTAAGCGTGCCAGCTTTATCCCACACCATCCTACTCGTGTACCGTTCAGGTGGTTAGAGTTTTACCTGGGGCTTTCTGCAGTTCTGTTTTTCCTTTGGGTAAACAGCCAACGTGTCCTGCTTCCACACCAGGACTGGACTTGTTGCTTTCCCTTTCAGGTGTGAAATACAAATCATGTTTTTATGATTTTTTTTTTTTGTAAATCCTTGCGCTTTTTACACTTTGTTTTTGTAAACTGAAGTTTCTTATTAAAAAAACAAAACCACAATTCCACCGAGTCACATCGTTATTCCGCACGCTTTAATGAAACAGGGAGGCGGCAGTACAGCGGCAAATCCCACGCACGCGGAGACTTCACGGAAACTCTTCCCGGGGCACCTGGGGCGCTGCGCGGGTGGATTCTCCCTCCCGTCCTCTCCCGCCGGGAGCGGGGCGCTGGGGGGCTGCTCCGCGGGCGGCTCCCGCCGCGAGCCGCGCTTCTCGCCGAGCTCTGCAACGAGAGGCAGGGCGGGCGGGATGCCGGTCGCGGCGGCTCCCGCTCCCCAGCTCGGCCCCCGGCTCTCCCGCCGCGGGACTCACCGGGCGCTACGCGCTGGGCTGCGGCGCCATCAGGTCGATGTCCGTCAGGTTGCGGGCCACCCACACGCCGGCGGCGAAGAGCCCCAGGTTCACGAGCAGGTTCCTGCGGGAGGCGGCGCTGAGGCGGCGGCGGAGGCCGCGCCCCCCGGCACCGGTGGCGGTGCCGCTCCCGCCCCGTTACCGGTGCCGCTCCCACCTGCGGAAGTCGCTGCGGTCGGTGGCGAAGCGCAGCGCGCTCCGCAGCCACCCGCGCGGCCCCTGCGGCGGCGCCGACACCGGCGCCCCTGCCGCCGCCGCCATGTCGCCTCGCGCCGCCACGTCACTTCCGCCGCGCGGAGGGGTAGGCAGGGCGCGCGTGCGCAGTGGGGTCCCGCTCCCCGGCGCCCGCCCCAGGCGCATGCGCGCTCGCCCCGCGTGGCCTCGTGCAGCGCGGCGCATGCGCAGCGCCCTCGTGCAAGGGGCGCGGGCGGGGGGGGCGCGGGGGGCGGCGCCTCGTGCAAGGCCCTGGTGCAACAGCCTCGTGCAGCGGCCTCGTGCAATATGGCCGTGCACCGCCCTGGTGCCAGGCCCCCGTGCAGTGATTGCGTGCAGCGTCCTCGTGCAATGCCCTTGTGCATTGTCCTCGTGCAGCACTGTTGTGCAACGTCCTCGTGCAGCGTCCTCGTGCAATACTGTCACCGATCACCCTGGTGCCAGGTCCTCGTGCAGCGGCCTCGTGCAATATGGCCATGCATCACCGTGGTGCCAGGCCCTCGTGCAGCATCCTCGTGCAGCGTCCTCGTGCAATGCCCTTGTGCGTCGTCCTCGTGCAGCATTGTTGTGCAACGTCCTCGTGCAGTGGCGTAGGGAAATGCCCTTGTGCAGTGCCCTTGTGCAATACTGTCACGCATCACCCTGGTGCAAGGCCCTCGTGCAACACCTTCATGCAATGCCCTTGTGCAGCATTCTTGTGCAAGGCCCCCATGCTGTCCTGCACCACCGTGGTTCAAGGCCCTCGTGCAACGCCCTGGTGCGTGTTGCACATCGAGGAGGGCACGTTTGGTAAGGGAGGGAGCTCCCTGTGCTGCAGCAAGCCCCAGGAGTGAGAGGCGCTGGGGGCGGCTGCACCCCCTCTCAACAACGACCCCGGGCGCGGCGGTAGCTACAGGCTGCGCTCGGTTGTACCGGGCTCCAGAACAGTCCTGTTGCACAAGCTCACTCCGCTAACTGCAGCCCGTTCTGCGAATTACAGCCTGTTTGTCACACCGCTGCGGGTCCGGCTGCGTGTGCGGCGGTCACTCGAGCTCACGGACAGCGGGATTTACTCAAATACAACAAATACAACAAATACAACAAATACAACAAATACAACAAGGTGTCGAGTGCCCGCTCAGGGATTTCTCTCTCTCAGCGTGGGGTCCGTGGCCAGCTCCAGTGTTCAGTCACCCAAGAAGACGGGAGAGGACCCTCAACCTCAAGGAGCCTCCACAGGTGGGTCCCAGCCTGAGGGGAGATCTGGCTGCTTCCCTGCGGAGCCGCGCTCCGGCCGGGAAGCCCTGGGCTGGTTTGGTGCCCTAGTCGAGGGGGAGGCGGTCGCTGTCCGGAGGGGAATGTTCCTCGGCGCAACGTGCTGAGAAACCCTCTCGTTAACGGCTCCGTGCGAGTGCCCTGTCCCGACCCGCTGCCAGGAGAGGTTTCCATAGGATCCCAGGAGGCGTCAAATGCCGAACGACCTTGAAAGCTCTGTGCTCATGGCGAGGAGTAACCGCGATGGACGGGGAGGGAGAAGGGAGCAAGGAGAAGCTCCCGAGCGGTGCAACCAGGGCAGGTGCCAGCACCGCCAGTCCCGCTACGGTTCCCTGGCTCCACCTGGGCGCAGGCAAGCGGCTCTTGAGGAAGGGTGTCCAGGGAAAAGGAAGAGGAAGGAGGCGCGCCAAGGGATGCACACGCGGCCCTTTTACTGTCCCTGTTCTCCAGGAATGCACCCGCTTCCCGCAGGTGCCTGTTGTTTGTGCCGTGTGCTCAAACTCCTCACCCGGCTCCCGCCCCTGGGGCTTGGTGGGCATGGCCGGAGCATCCCAGTTGTCCGTGTTCCCGGCACGGGATGCCGAGGCCAGGAGGGCACAATGGAGCAGCCGCGAGCCGTGGCCGGAGCGGGGAGGGCTGTGCCGGAGCCAGGGCGCGCGGCCGTGCCGGGCCGTGTCTGCCGGAGCGGTTCCCGTGCCGGCCGCAGCCCCCGCGCTCCTCCCTTATCTCCCATGTGCTTCCCCGGCCGCCTTATCTCGCGCCGCCCGCCAAGGCCGCGCGGTGCCCGTGGGGCGCCGCCGGGGAAGGGCAGCCGCGGGCCGGGCTGCGGGCACCGAGCGGGAGCCGCTGGCGGACGGAGCGGCCCCCCGGCAGCGACGCCCCGGCCGTCACCCCCTTCCCGGGAGCCGGCCCTGCGGCTCCCCCTGGCCATCCCGAGATGTTTCCCAGGAATGCCGGCTGGAGACGCTTCCCACGGCTCCCTGGAGAGGTGGGGGCAGCTCTGGCGCCTCGCGGCCCCCCGGGGCCACGTTCACCCCGCGCCGGTCGCTCTCCGCAGCACCGGCCGCGCTGGGGTTCCCCCCCGCCGCCCCACGGCCCCCGGCCCGCGCGGAGCCCCCCGCCCTGGGACTGGGAACGCCGGAGCGCCGGGATCGGCTGGCGGCCGGTAAGCCAGGATGAGCCGGGAGCAGCGATGGGAGCAGCATCCGGGGGCGCCCCCATGTCCCCCCTGTGGTGACTTTTCCTTGCAGCACGCTCCGTGGGATGCAGGTTGTTCTCCCGGCCCTGAGGAGGAGGACGGGCGCTGGGCGCCGCCGGCCACTCCCTGGCGCTGGAGCGAGGAGGAGGCTGCTCCCGGCGACGGATGGAGCCCGGTACGGGGAGCGGAGGGGATGCGAGTCCCGGGAAAGCGTTGGAGCAATTCCCTGTCCGTGCCACTCAACCGCTGCCCCCGGCAGGAGCTGCCGCCGCTCATGTCCCTTTCCTGTTCCTCCTGGCCCGAATTCCCTGATTTCCCCGTGGAGGAGCTGCCTCCTGCCTGGCCGCCCGCCCCAGGGTAGGAGCAGACAGACCCCGGCTCGGGCAGGTCCCACCTGCAGCCTCCTCGCGCTGCAGGACGCAGCAATGGAGATGCTGATCCCATCCCATTCCCTGCGCGAGCCCCTCCAGCCTCCCTTTCCCTGCCGAGCTGCCTGTCCATCCCACAGGAATCAGGAAGGCTGCTGGGATGGTCCCTGGCGCAGGGGCTGCCGCCAGGGCCCTGGCTGGAAGCGCTGCCGCCTCCCGCAGCTCCGCCCGCGGGACACGTTTGCTCCCTGCCGCCGTCCCCCGCGTCCCCGCGTGCCCAGAGGTTGGTGTTGGCACCCGGCAGCGGCCCCGGCAGGGATTTGGGGGACTGAGAAGGACTCGGCCATTGAGGCAGAGGTTTTGTCCCGTTGCACCTTCCTCCATCCACGAGTGGTTCCCGGAGGCCCTGGCACAGGGTGGAGGCTATTCCGGAGCGGGACACACACGTGCTGCAGCTCGGCACCGCCGGGCCTGGCATTATTGCAGTGCCAGGTACCCCCTGGCATTACTGCTCCGGTTCTGCTCCGCAGGGAGGCCGCCGTCTGCCGGTGCCTGGGCTCCCAGCCCCAGGCTGAGCGCGCTGGGCGGCCGAGACAAGAGCCGGGCGGATGCCGCGGGCGCGGAGCAGCCGGTGAGCCTGCGGATGGCGGGCACAGCGCGCCCGGCACGGCGCCGCCAGCCCCTCACCGCTGCCCTTCCCGCAGGACCCGCCGTGGCGGGAGCATCCCGAGGGGCCAGGGAGCAGCGCGCGGGAGAGCCCGGGTGCCGCTGCCGGCACCGTGCCAGCCGTGGCGGAGCGGGAGCGCACGGCGGAGAAGGAATGCATGGTGGAGTGGGAGCGCACAGCGGGCGCAGAGCCGGTGTGTGCGGGAACGCTTTGCCCCTTGGACTCCCCAGCTGCTCCCGGTTTCCCGGGATCTCAGCAGCCCGTGTGTCCCCCGCAGTGCCCGGCAGCCACAGGTGAGCGGGACCCCGCGGCTTCGGGAATGGAGGCCGCCCCAGCGCGGAGCGTTTGCGGCGGGAAGGAGGAGGATCCGGAGCGGGTAGGGGCCGACGCTCCCCTGACGCCGCCGGGCAAAGGCAGCTCCGTGCCGGCGCCCACGTCCCTGCGCTCGCACCAGCCCCTGCAGGTCCCACGGGAAGAGGCTGCAGAGCCACAGGACGTGCTCGGACAGGGTGGCTCCGATGTCCGTCCCGTGCCCGCGTCCTCGCCTGGCACCGGGGAACTTCATCCCCCCGGAGAGCCGGTAGGGACCCGGCTCCTTCCCACCGATGCCTGTGCTGCCCTGCGGTGCGTCCCGGGCTCTGCTTCTGCCCCTCGTGCTCCAGTGTCCCCAGGAGCCACCACCGGACCCGGCCCAGCAAAACATGATCCCAGCCAGCCTGGGAACATCTTTTCTTTCCCGCCTTTCCTCTCATGGAATTACGTGTCTGGAATTGGCCTGGATGTGGAGCCAATGGCTGCCCCGGCACCAGCCACTTGGGAAGATGCCAATAACTTGGAGGCACTTGGAGAAAGGCCAAGGCTGGGGAATGTGCTGGAGCGTGAAACCCCTCGGGACGCCCGCTCTAACGAGCGGCACGAGGCCTAACGAGCCCCTGGCGGGGAGAGCAGCCGTGGCCGGGCTTGGGATGATGGCAGAGGGATGGATGCAGCTCCGGGTGCAGGGGGGCAATCCTGGGCACCCCTCCCGCTTGCGAGCACGCCGCTCTCCCGCATCCCGCAGGCTGTGCCCGAGCGGGACCGCCGCTCCGCCGCCGTGCTGGCCAGGAAGGAGCAGCTGGAGCTGGTGAGTGGCGGGCGCGCGGGGGGCGGCGGGGCGGCGCGGGCACGGACACGGCCGGGCGCTGCCACCCGCAGTCCTACCAGCGCTGCAGCCTGGCCTGCGCCATGGTGGCCGCGATGCTGCTGTGGCACCAGCCCTGCATGGAGGCGGCGCTGGCGGCGGCGCTGCGGGCCACGCTGCGCCGGGCGCGCGGCCACCACCTGCGCCAGCTCGAGAGCTTCATCGAGAGCTACGACGCGGCGGGCGGCGCGAGCCCCCCGGCCGCCGGGATGAGCCCGGCCCCGGGCTCTCCCGCCGTGCAGGGCTGGTCCGGAGAGCGGCCGCACGGAGCCGTCATCTGCTCTCCCCGCCCGCGCACGGAGCAGCCGAGCCCCCGCTTGGGATTAGATAGTCTTTAATAAAAACAGAGCCAGTGTGAGCTGGGCGTGGTCCCTGCTCCGCTGCTGCGTGCGGGCTGGCGGTCCCGTCCCATCCCGTCCCATCCCGTCCCATCCCGTCCCATCCCGCAGCCGGTGCCTGCCCGCGGCTCCGGCCGCGCTGGCGGGACGGGGAGCAACGGGCTGGACTCGTTTGCTCCCGCAGCCGGCTGGCGGCCGAGCTTTCACTGGGGCTGGTGCCAGCGCTGCGCGCCTGTGCTCGTGGTCCAGGCCGCCGGCGCGGGGCCGCCTTCATCCCGCAGCGCTTCCCGCTGTGGGAGCGGGTGCACGGATCCGGCCCCGGCCGTCGGCTGCCGGCTCCCAGGCTGGCTTTACCTGTTCCTAATTGCGGGAGCGGCCGGCAGGAATTGCCGGCTGCGCGCGGCCGGCTCAGGCGTCCCGCTGGCTTCTCCCTCCCGCCACGGGGCCGCTTCCGAGGTGCCCTGGGGCCAGCCGGTGGCACGGGCCGGGCTGGGGGGGCCGCTGTCCCCACGCTAGGACACGCTGCAGTGGCGGCTGCTGCCCCGCAGCTTCGCCGGGCGCCCCCCGGGCCGCCCCGTGCACTCTGTGCCCAACGAGCCCGTGCCGGGCTTGGGGATGGGCTTCCCGAAGAAGAAACCCTCCTCTCCCGAGTCCGAGTCTGAGGAGGAAGAGCAGGTTGGGCACCAGGAGTCTTCCTCTTCCGTGCCGTCCTGCAGCTCGGCGTCCTCCGGCCTCAGGCTGCAGCAGGACGGGGATGGGACACCCATGTCCCCGTCACCCTGCGCTGTCCTCGGGCCAGGGCTCCCTGCAGCCGGGTGCCCCTCCGTGCGCGAGGCATCCCTGCTCCTCTCCCAGCTGTCCGTGCCCCGGAAGGCGGGATGCACCGGGGCCAGTCCTGGCAGCAGCTCTGCCTCTGCGGGAAGGACAGCGAAGGGATGAGGGAGGGATGGATGTCCCAGCCATGTCACTCCTTTATCCCCCCGTCCCTCTGCTCTCCCTCCCATCCCTCTCTCCATCCCTCCATCCTTCCCCCCTTCCCGCCCTCTCTCATGCCATCCCTCCCTCCATCCATACCAGCCCCCGGCCCGTGCTGCCTGCACCCCGCGGGCGTCGCGTCGGGGGACGGCGCCGAGGCGAAGGCCGAGTCGGAGGAGTCGGAGGCGCCATCGGTGCCGTCGGCGGCGGCGCGCGGGCGGCTGCAGGCATCGGAGCAGAAGAGGCGGCCGCGGCGCGCGGTGAGCGGGCGCCCGCGCAGCGGCGCGCGGCAGCGGCTGCAGCAGAAGCAGGCGGCGCGCGCGTGCCAGCGCAGCCCCTCGTGCGTCGCCTCCTCGCTGTCCGCGCCTGCGGGGCCGGCGCCGGTGAGGGCTCTGCACCCGCGGCGCCCGCCCCGCGGCTCCCGCCGCCCCCTCGGCACCCACCGATGGGCTCCCCGCACGCCTGGCACGGCTCCGCGTAGAGGCTCTCGTAGCAGCGGGCGCAGTGGGGCCGGCCGCTCGCCAGCACGTAGCGCTGCCCGCGCAGCGGCGCCTCGCACTCCAGGCAGCAGAAGTGCTCGGGGTGCCAGCGGCGGCCCTCCGCCTCCACGCACTCCTCCAGGAAGATGAGCTGCAACAGGGGGACGGGCGCGGGGGTAGCGAGCAGCCACGGAGCATCCTCCCCATCACGCCCATCGCCGCCACCTCGGGCCGCGTGGAGCCCCCCGTGCCGTGTGCCCACCTGGTCGCAGGAGGCGCAGCGGGGCCGGAAAAGCTCGGCATGGTGCCGCCCGCAGTAGATCCTACCATCCTGCTGGAAGTAGATGAGATCCACGAGGGGCTGGTGGCAGAAGTGGCAGCAGAAGCAGGACGGGTGCCAGAGCTGGCCGCCCAGGCGGGAGGCCGAGACGCCCGGGTCCCCTTGGTTCAGCCGGCGGCCGCACTGCAGAGCCGAAGGGCACGGACGGGGCTGTGGGGCTGCACGGGGCCGGTCGCGCCCCTGGGCAGCATTTGCAGCGGGGTCCGTCTCACCTGCTTGCAGGGACACCCGTGACAGGGGCCCGGCACGGGGCACGCCAGCCCCTGCCCCAGCGCCTCGCGCCGCCGCCGCGCGCTGAACGCCTGCAGCTGCCGCCTCTCCTCCTCCGCCAAGCCGGGGCAGTAGCGCTCCTGGGGGCACGGGCACAGCGTGAGGGGCCGCCGCGCGCCCCGGCAGGCGCCGCGCTCCCCGCCACGGCGCCCCTTACATCGCAGTCCTGCGGGGGCAGCTGCTGCAGCAGCGCCCTGGCGCGGAGCCGGCTGCGGTCGGCGGACGGGCACGCGGGCACCTGCGCGGCACACGCGGGAGACAGAAGCACAAGGGGGACGTGGCAGGGGACGGAGCGGCCGGCGCCAGGGCGTCCGTGTGGCCCTGGCGCCGGGAGCTGCGTCCCGGGATGCTCCAGCAGGGCGCTGGGGGTGCCCACCTCGGCCGGCGGCTCCGGATACTCCTCCAGGGCGCAGCCGGAGTCGCTGTCGGACGAGGCCGGCGGGAGGCCGGTGGCAGTGCCGCACGCGGGCGCCTCGTCGCGCTGGGGCCATGCGGGGCTCGGCGGGGACATGGGCTGCAGAGAGAGGCGACAGGGCTTGGAGCATCCCGGGAGGGGGTCCGTTCCCAGGACATGCGGCATCCCAGCACAGATCCTGCTCCGTCTGCAGCATCCCTCCGTCATCCCGGGGGCATTCCCAGGATGAGTGCAGCCAGGACCGTCCTTGAGTCTCTCTGCTCAGTGCAGGGGAAGTTGGGCGAGGGGATCCCCAGTTCCCGTGTCCAGCTGGAACGGGTCCCGGTTGGAAGCGCTGCCGGCCATCGAGCTCCCACAGCGGGAGATTTTCGCTGGCTCCCTGCAGCCCCTTGCTGGCCCGGTTAATCCCGGCTTTGGCGGCCTGTCTCCAAGCGGTGCCGTGGGAGGAGATGGAGGTCTAGCCCAATGCAGTGGAAAATGCTGGATTCCCCCGGGGCTGCTATTGTTCAGCGCAGAGCGGCTGTTCCTGCCCGGCAGCCGGCTCGCCCGGCGCCTCCACCTTCCCTGCCTAATGGCTGCAAACCGGCCCCTTCCCTCGGCCCCGCGCCGCGCGCTTCCTTCCTCCCAGCGCTTTCCAAAACAAAGGCGGGATGGGATCCGGCAGCTCCTGGGGAGCCCTGGACACCGGCCTGGTGCCAGCCGCGCTCGGCCCTGCGGGGTGTCCTGGAATGCAGCCCGCGGCCCCGTCCCGTCCCGCGGCCCCGGACCTTGTGTCCCCACGCTCCGTTTGGGGCCCTTTGCAGCAGGAGCGGCGGCGGCGGCAGCTCAGGTTTCCCCGCTGCACCTGCGTCAATGATTAACTCTGCAAATTGGTAACTCAGCGGGACCAAACAAAAAGGGCTGCGTGCCCTGCGCTCAGGGTCCTGCAGTGGGTGCCAGGGCCAGTGCTTGCCGGGCTCCCGGTGCTTGCCGGGCTCCGAGGCCAGTCGTGTTTTGCTCCTCAACAGGGGCAAATCCAGAGCCCAAAGCAGCTCCGTGGCCTGTGGCTCGTGTGGGACCGGCTGCAGGTGGGAGCTGCATCCCTGGAGATGCCAAAGCGGAGCTTCCCTGGGATGGGAGGTGCTGCCTGGCTTGGTTTACGAAGCCTCTGAGCCGCACGGGGCTAGTCCAGCTCTCTCCTAACTAGCTCCCCGGGATGCTGCATGGTGCTACCCATGGCTGGCTTATCCCCCAGTCCTGAGGCATTCGCAGTGGGATCCTGCTTGGAGAAAGGAGCATCCCTGATTCCAGCGGGGTTCTGGGGGTGCCAGGAGGAGCCGCCGGGGTAACTGGGAGAGCGGGAGCAGTGCGGGCCAGGCCACGCACAGAGCCTGGCCCGGCTTGATGCGATTACAGCGGCCGGCAGCCGTCTGGGCTGCAGCGGCTCCCTGTAATTAGCAGCAGACGGTGACAGCGGGAAGCGCCTCCCATGCTAAGGAGCCGGGCAGCTCCGACAGGTCGGGCGCCTCCGCTCCCCGTCCCTGTCCCGCCGCGCTCGGACCCTCGCGGCATCTGCGAAGGGCCAGGGGGTGTCCATGGGCTGCTCCCAGCACTGCCCTGCTTCCTGGGATTTGTTTCCCGCTTGGAGTGTGTTTCCCACGGTGGTTATGGCCCTTTCCATGGTGGTTCCCGGGGTCAGAGGGGCCGAGCTCACCAGGATGGGGTCTCGGTGGCTCCCATTCCCTTCCTCCCCTGCACGGTCGCACTATTCCCTTGTCCTGCAGCCACCATTCCCAGTCCCATTCACACACAGCCCGGCTCCCCGCATGCATTGGAGCTGATCCCTGTCCCTGCCACAGCCCCTGTTTTGCCGGAGCCACCTCTCCATTGCATGAGACCCAGGTTTTGGTACATTTAGCAGCAGCACCAAACCCTCCACAGCTCCATGACCACCAGGGAAATGCAATTGCTCATTGGCAAGGCCAAATCCCATCCCAAATCCCCCAACAATGCTGGCAGCTTTTGGCATGGATCTGTGTAGACAACACCTCACCCACACGGCAAGCTGCTCTCGCTGCAGGTCCTGTCAACACAGCTGCACCAAGGGGGCTCCGGGAGAAGGATGCAGCCGGTCTGGGCACATCTCTCCCTGGGGGGCAGAGGTGCGGAGCCGGAGCGGCTCATTCCCCCTGGGAGCAGCCCGGCCAGGTCCCCCAGGAAGCTGCTGCAGCTCATCCCGCCGCATCTCCGCACTGGGACGCGGGACCTGCGGGGCCGCCGAGGCACCCAAGGGATCCGCAGCCACCTGCCCGCACCGGGCCGCCCGCCGCAGCCCCGCGCTGCCACCCGTGCTGCTGCTGCTGCTGCTGCTGGCGGCAGCGGTTCATTCGGGCACCAAATCCCTCCCGAAATTCACCTCTTCCCCATCGCGTTTGCAGCAACCCCACCAGATGGGATCTCCCGGCTCCTTCCCAGCCTTTCCCGCTCCACGCAGCTCCACTCCAGATTCACCTACCTGCGCCGCCGCGGCCGCCCGCTCCGCTC